AAATCGAAGTCAAACGAATAGATTTTTCTTATAATATTTTATCGATTATTTAAGTCTTTTTCATTAAGAATATTTTCATTAATTAAATTCTTCGCTTTTGATGACCCCTCATACATTTTCTTTTTATTATTTCAACAGTTTAGATAGAGAACTTATGTTGATATTCGGCTCCCGAGCAAATTTATAGGTGAATACCTATTTTTAAAGTTTAATGTATCATTTAAGCTCATTTTTTTTAATTATACTTATGTTCCGCTGAATAATTGTTGGCAACCCTAGTTCATCTTCCGCTTTCTGCATATCACTCACCCGAAAGAGAGATATATATTCTTTCTCTGAGCAAATTTACCTTTTATAAATTCGTATGAATATCAGATGTCACGCGCTGATTGATGTTTCGTTTAACTAGAAACAGAGATTAAAAAAAAAAAACATTATTATTTAATAAAAACATTCGTAGAATATTATCTTTAAATTTCACGAAATTATTAATCATATAATTTTTTATAATTTATCAGATTGGTGTGAGACTTTCATACGCATGTACCCAACGTATAGTCTGTGCCAAACCTCTAGATCGCTCTGAAGTTGTTTCAAGCATAGGTGCGGTAAGAAAGTAAACTTTATTTTTATGTGTATAAAATATCTTATCCCTACGCGACACAACTACAGACCGAACTAGAAGTTTTGCAAGGACTATTTCATTCACTTGCAGTTATCGTGTTACGAAGACATAAAGATATATTTCAAACATAGACGAGCGAAATGATATATTATCTCACTTGAGATAAATGTTACATTTATCACTCGCTCGCGAGTTACTTAAGTCTACTTACGTCACTGTACAACATCACTCTGTTCGGCGATCTGCCCTGCGATTCTGTAACAATCCAGACCCGAATTCGAATTCACTCATGTGTCCGAATTCTAGTCATATAGTAAAGAAATCCTATTGATTCCATTTTTTGTATAAAAATACTAAACAAAATTGACTGATTAAACGTGTCATAGATATTTTAATCCTATATCATTTCGAAACTCACTTCACTTATCTCACGAAACAATATTACCAATTTAAGTTTGAGCGGATGCCGCTTTTTGAAGTGAATTCGGACACCCGAGTGATTTCGAAATCGGGTTTGAAGTTTTACAGAATCGCAGGGCAGGCTATAGTCGATATTCCGTCTTCGGGGAGTTCACGTATGTGGTATCACGACCAATGCAAAAACGGGCTTTTAAATGAGGAAGTATTAAAAAAAGCATTAGTTCCCGAAATCAAACTAGATGCCGCTACGGTACGTTCTTGATTTCTCCATGACAACCCTTCCGGTTTACTTTCATGTTTAAAAGTAAATTAGTTTTCGAAACTCAATAAACAACTCATATTCTATTTGTACTTTTTCGTATTTGTTTTGATATCTAAGTTTCGAACTTTTCAAATTTCAGTTTTTAATATATTAGTTAAAAGGAACGGAAATGACTGTCTTTGGTCCAAAAATTCGTTTCCTGCAAAAATCAACTTTTGCTAGAGTCGCCATCTAGTACAGGTGCTTTTTAGTGTTTTCTTTTTTTTATATGTCCTCATTAGGTTAATAGTTTTTTAATGCGTACTTATTGTTTTCAGCAGCTGCTTGGCGTAATATGGTGGATCAAGATTTGGACGATGTCGCTTTTCTTGCTGGTAATTATATATATCACATCGCATATAAATATAGAGTGGTAGGGGTATATCACTCGCGTATGATGTAGCTTCCCTTAGGTGAATGAATTTTTAAAATTGTTCCAGTAGTTCTGGTATTCAAGGCAAACGAACAATCAAATATTACCTCTATATAATATTTTAGTATAGATTCGGAAATGGCATAGAGTCGAAGCAAATTAAGATCAATTCTATTTTAATATCGACCCTAAAAGACCTTCGTAAAGAGGGGTTTTACGTATTCATTTATTATTTACGAATGGTTTAAAATGGATCCTCTCTTAATCTAAAATAAAATTAACATTGTGTTTCATTTTCTACGGTGAATTTATATAAAATCGTCGTTATATCAACTTTCAGCAGAATATTAAAAATATTTAAACGGAAAAACACTACTTGTGCTTCAATTCGCCGCTAGAGGAGCTAGTTTAGCAGAAGATCTTTTGTCACTGTTTCTGGTGGACTATGAGGTTATTTTAAATATTTCCGAAACTTCAAGCTTCCATTTTTCCGTTGATATTTCCGTCGGTCGTCCTGAGACAGAGTGGATTTTTTAAGTATGAGTTTAAGTGAATTTCGTAAATGTCTTTCAATGTATTTTAAAATTTTAAATTAAATTTTTATGTGTCGCCTTACATTTTTATTGGTGCCTGGTTCTCCAGTTGACTGGGAGATTATAACAAAGAACATTTAGTCCACCATTTGTACAATTTTGCGTGCAATAAAGTTTAAATAAACGGAGATAATAGGTAACACTAAAAATACTTTTCTAAAAATCGCATCAAAACGGTGATAATGTACGTACCTCCATTTTTTATCAGTCGGCTAATATACCTAAAACCTCCTCCTAAGTCTGACAACTACTATGCTGAAAATCGTATCAAAATCGGTTCGGTTCAAAGTCGGTTAAAATAAGCGAGAAAAATCGTAAAAATTTGAGTATAATAGTAAAGCAACAGTTTTATTTTCTCAATTGGATACTGCCATATTTTTGATGTTAATCAAAGCCAAACAAAAACGCTTTATCTCTGATATGCCTTCAATTTGATTCCTTGTATTAAGCAAAACAAGTTTTGCCGGGATGGCAGGTTTTATATTGAATTAATCCCATGGATATCTCACCCAATAGAGTCATTTTCATAATAATAATAAGAACGACCTTTATTCATAACAAAACAGAACATGTTTTTAAACATAAATTAATAATCTGGCATTTTTTATTACAAATTAGCACTTACATTATTGTGAGCCCCGGGCCCCCAAATCAGAATTCAATATGTTTTTTGTAAATCAGCAATTCCTTTTATCTAAAGGAACATTTTGCACCATCGTTTTATATAATGGTAGAACTTTTGTGTGTACGTGTGTGTGTTTCAGTGTGTATGTGTGTGTGTTTATATATTCTACTAGCTTTCAACCAGCGGCTTCGCCCGCGTGGTCTTGTATTATACATAAAAACCTTCCTTTTAAATCGCCCTATCTATGAAAAAAAACCGCATCAAAATCCGTTGCGTAGTTTTAAACATTTAAGCATACATACGGATATAGGGACAGAGGAAGCGACTTTGTTTTATACTATGCAGTGATGTATTTAATAGTTGGATGTAGTGATTATATTTGGAATAAACTTAGTAAAATAAGGACTACAGAATTTCGTCAATAGTGGAAGCCAAAGTTGAGGGGGCGGTGCGTCCCGGGCCTCTAGTCCTGAAGGCCGTTCGAATAGCTACAAATTCCTTTGTCTAATTCTTAAATAAGGGTTCGGGGGCCCCGTAGACAAATAAGTACGGGGGTCTTGTGGATCCGGGCCTGAATGGCTTCACCAGTTCCACTTTTATATTAGGGTTGCCACTTGTCTCATCCATCATAAGATTTGCAATGAATAGTATGTTAATAAACCTCACCTATTTGTTACGAATCCTGTCCTCAACGCAGGCTTGTCAAAAAGGAAAGCGACTTTGTTTTATACTATGTAGTGATTTGCTATGCATACTTGCAGTGGCGGACTAACCCTGTTGGGGGCCCGGGGCGGCATTAGGTCCGTATCTACAACTTTTTACAACTGGTGCAGAAATTTATTTTGTGTTTACACCGCCTCCCCTGCTAAAACTACGAAACTAAAAAAGATAAGGCAGTACAACCCCAATTTATTATTTGATCAAGGAAACTTTCAGCCATTTGGAGCCCCCCCAGGATAAGAGGCCCGGGGCGGACCGCCCCCTCCAACCCGCCCCTTAGTTCGTCACTGCATACTTGTAACATGTCCTCTGTGATCATGATTTACAGATACGGATAAAGCCCGTGAGGCGCGCGAGCTTCGTGAAGCGCCCGTGGCGGTGTGCTCGCAGCGGCGCGCGCTGTGTCTCGCGGCGCTTGTGTTTTCAGCCATGTTCGCGACGGCGCTGCTAGTCGTGTACGCGACGCCGCAATCGGGTACAGTTGACTAAATACCGGCACACCAATACTGTAATAGTGTTATCAACAGTGGTCTGAATTAGGTAGAGTTATTCATGTACTTGCACTGATTTCATACAGCGAAAGAATAAAGTGGATATGCCTCAAATACCGAGATTAATTTTAAAGAGCAGAAAAAATCCCGTGAGTTTTAAATAAAAAGTTATTTACTTTTACACAATTTAAACTACTGCACACACGACGTTGCCAAACTTACATCAATGAAAGAAAGAAATAAAGAAATTCCGGGAAGATCCACATTAATATCAACATTTCGAGTACATAAATAACTCTACCGAATTCCGACCTCTGGTTATCAGTAAACAAGGTTTGGCGTTGGAATAAATTTACGCTGAGACTGCACTTAGTATTAATCAAAATTCATATTATTAAACAGAGACTTAGTAAAGGTTACGTACGAAGTACTACGGGAGTAATATTTACTCCTAGAATGTGATTCCCTGTATAATATGAATTTGGACTAATACTAAAATAGCAATTTTAGCGTAAATTTACTCTGACGCTAAGCCTTGTTATTAATAAAACTGTAAATGTTTACGTATTATTATCATTGTATTATTAGTATTAGGTGTTCCTCGGCCTTACCGATATATCCGAGGCATTACCAAAACTTCTAGAACAACTACCCGGCCCTTCCTTCCTCAGTATTTGTCCTTTTCTCACCGACGCGATCTATACCTAAATGACACAGGTAGTTTCAACAGAGTAAGCGCGATTCATTGGCGCATAACGCCATCTAGTAATGCGTAGACGAACCGCGCCGCTGCGCTCCGTATACATTACCTTTATAATGGGCTTACTGTTGACCTCATTCTAGCAATAGGACATGAATAAGGTCTACGGTGGGACGAGCTTGCCCAGAAGGAACCTGCATTTTCATATTATTGTTGTTGTAGATTGTCCGTGCGCTGGTGATAATCCTTTGATACCGGGCCAGCCTCCCACAGGAGCGGAAACAAATACTGCAGCAGCGAACAAGTAAGCTAGAAGTTTTTACAAACATTTAAAACGCTTGAGGGTCGATAAATAAAAATTATCGGCAAATGAATCTCTTTTTCACTTCTCTTACTCAAAAAGTTCTTAATTATAACGTACCAAATAAACAATAATACGTTCTAGCTGACACCTGAATTCTAATAAGGAAGTATTTAAAAAAAATATTAGTTCCCGAAATCAAACTAGATGTCGCTGCGGTACTTTCTTGATTTCCCCATGACTTCCAGTTTTCTTTCATGTATAAAAGTAATTATTTATCAAAACTCAATAAACAACTCATATTCTTTTCGTACTTTTCCGTATTTGTTTTGATATCTAAGATTCGAACTTTGCAAATTTCAGTTTTTAATATGTTAGTTAAGAGGAACGGAAATGACTATCTTTGGTCCAATCGTTTCCTGTAAAAATCAACTTTTACTAGAGTCGCCATCTAGTGAGGTGCGTTTTAGTGCTTTCCTCATTCTTTGAAAATCTAGAATAAAAATTTCTTATAGTTACTTGTGTTAAAGTCATATCCGCGAAGATTCTGCATCACAGGCAGAGTCAGGTACTATCCAGGGCCGGATTAGCCACGTAGCAAAAGTAGCAAATGCGACGGGGCCCGCGCAATTGGGAGCCCCGCTATGGTCTAAGAGTCAACAAATAAATTTTCCAAGTCAGTGTTAAAAATGCAAGAAATAAAATAAGCCACGCCTCTGATAAAGCTCATATTTTTAAGTATAAACATAAACTGACAAATAAAACTCATTAACTTATTCGGAAAGCAAAGGACAAGTTTTCTGTTGGTTGGTATTTAAAAAAATGCAACAGGCCCCGCTCGGTCTTAATTCGGCACTGGTCTTACATAGTGTTTCAGATTGTGGCTGAATAAGAAGAAGATAAGCATTGATACGTAACCTTTACAAATGTTTAATCGATTTTTTTAATAGGGATCGAATAGCAAGTAATGGGCAGGTGTTCCCTTGGCGCGGAGCACGGCTGCCTACCTTCGTTATTCCAAAACATTATAGTTTGTGGCTGCATCCAAATTTAACCACGGGAGAGTTGCGAGGTGAGTTGTCCTATTTTCAAACAGGGAAGTATTATCTCCGTCTGTCCCTTTAAAAAAAAACAGCTAAGTGTGCGTTGGACTCGTGCATGAAGGATCAAATTCAATTGTAATTTTATATTTGAATTTGATCCGATATGAATACTAAGGCTTAGTTGCACCAACTTTATTACTTATTATTCTTGTATACCATCTTACCGTACGCTGTCTATTTTCCATACTATATTAATACCTATTATTAATGCGAAAATAACAATATCTGTTACATTTTCACGCTTAAACTACTGAAACAATTATTATGATATAAAATTTTGCCATCACTAGGCATTTTTTATAATGCCGGATTTATCACTTGTTCCATAATATAGACAATCAATGAAATGGAAATGAAGTGTGTTCGACTATTATAAATATTTCATATCACTCTAATTTTTCACAGGTGAAGTCTCGATAGATTTCAAATTGGACCGGGACACAAGTTTTGTTGTTCTGAATGTTAGAGACATGAATGTAACAGAACGAGCTCTGTTCAAGACTGGTGGAGCCCTAGGGCCTAAAGTGGCAAGAGCACTGGATTACCCCGCGGCTGATCAGACTTATATAGAGTTTAAGGTAATCTTTCATAATTTAATAATTGCATAGGATTCAAATTTAATAAAATTATTTATGTGTAAGCAACTTTCCAAACCAACCAAAAAATTATCTCGAGCTCCTCCGTGCTTCACAAGTCGCTTTAAATCGTGCTATCTGCATTTGGAGTCGTTAATACCATACAATCTGATGGTCATGACCCATCTTGGTTAACCATCCATAAGGCTTGAACCCCTGCAGTGGGATGTAAAAAAGGTTGATGATGATGGGAGGATTCAAACCTCATTTAAACACATTAGTTTAGAAAGTGGAGCAATCTTTTATGTGTTCAGATTATTGGCTAGGCGTCAAGACAAAAAAAAACAGACAAAAATTATGTTTCTGTAATTTGTAATTTAATATGTATCACTGGGTCTGAAATATTAATTATTATTATAAAATTGATTATTATTATAAAAAAGGATTCAACTTCTAGGGGTTGAATTTGGAAGAAATCAATCATCTGTCAATGAAATATAGTATAGGTGAAAACGACGTTATGTTACGCGTCCAACACCTATTTATAATTAAATAATTACCTACCCTCAAACCAATATCTACTGTAGTGAAAGTGCTCTGAAAAGCCATTAATATTTTCCTGTTTTTCTGTATAATCAGGGCCGAATCTAGGGGCTGAATGGGGATGAAACAATATATCGATATCGAAAAATCAGCGATATCGATATATCAAAACCTAATAGTAAATGGAGCCATAACAGTTAAAGTGTATCAGTTGTCCAAATTTTTACATCTAACGACATTTGCACGTGTGAAATTTGATGCACGTGTCACATTATTTTGTAACCCTATTTTTTTGCTTTGGAATGAGGAAGTATTAAAAATAAATACATTAGTTCCCGAAATCAAACTAGATGTCCCTGTGGTACTTTCATGATTTCTCTATGACAACCCATCCGGTTTTGTTTCATGTATAAAAGTAAATTAATTTTCATAATTCAATAAGCAACTCATATTCTATTTGTACTTTTTCGTATTTGTATTGATATCTAAGTTTCAAACTTTTCAAATTTCAGTTTTTTAATATGTTAGTTAATAGGAACGGAATGACTATCTTTGGTCCATTCGTTTCCTGCAAAAATCAACTTTTGGTAGAGTGACCAACTAGTGAGGAGCTTTTTAGTGTTTTCTTATTTTCTTAAAATACTTCCTCGTTTTTTATTATTATAATTTGTTTGTACTTAATTTAAAATAAAGTGTTATTCTCAATCTAATCTAATCGCAATATATTTAAAAATGAAATAAGACAGACACAATTAGATATTTTCGAATATATAAATATAAAATGGCTAAAATATTTTACCATCGCGATGTAATTCACTGTAATGCCATCTAGTTGTAGAAATTAAAATTATTTTGTTGCATGTAACAATTAGCGATGTACTGATGTCCGTTGCTGACATATATTATTTTTCGTTTCAGGACAAACTCCGGCGTAAATACAATTATACACTTAGCCTCCGTTTTATCACAAAATTAGAGAGAAATGGCAAACAAAGAGGATTCTTCCTGACAGGAACACAAAAGCAGTACGTACACACATTAAAATACAAAACAGACTAATGAATACTTGATCTAGAGCTTCATTTCGCGATGCGGAAGATAAGCGACTATCGTAAGAGCCGTTACACAAGGTGGGTGACCAAAAATGTACTGTCTCGAGTTTGTTTGTGCATGTCACAGCTGCATATGCAGTCGTTAGTTTTCACCAATTCAAACTAGGCCCTCGTGGTGGGTCTAATTGCGTTTACACAATTCTGCAGATGTCACGTTGGTGGTCTTTACACAAAAAGAAATAATTAACAAAAATATATAATTTTGTTTTTTTTGCAATACAAGAAGAAAAGTCTTATCAACTCTAAGCACGCCTATTACAATTTTAAAGGATATGGTTAGTTTTAAGTCAGATATTTCTATATAACTGCATTGTTATTAGGCATGGTTATAAGATAAAAATGTTTTTTTGTTCAAGTCAAAATAACTTTGGCTAAGGAAAGCTAGGGATGCCTGTAATGCAATCGATAACTAGTGTTGCCCTTAGTAATCGATCATTTTCCCACTTACAATATGAATGGATAATAGATTGTTTAAATTGTTTAGTAAACTGCCTGGGGGCAGTTGGCGTTAATAGTTTGCACTTCAGTTTTTAAAGTACCGTGGCTATTATTGTACACATTAATCTTGTTAAACTTTTTGATCCAATATTTAATGTGTAATATTATTATATGCCAGGACTCCGTGGAGTGCATTAGTTGAGTATACTGAACAACTAACAATAAATTCACGCAAAAATAATCAGCTTGATGGTATGAAACAGCTGTTAATTTTTTCAGAATTCAATGTTGTTCCCATAGTAAAAGTTGTTCAGTATACTCAACTAATAATTTTTTTTGTTGACGTTGGAAATCATAATTTATTAAATGTATTTTTATTATTATGACACAACATTATATTGTCTGACTCACTTTGTAATTTGTATAGGTTTTTTTAATTTTTTTTGTATTTAATGAATGAACGATTTAAAATTCTGTTTCATAATTTCAACTTGTTGGCATTTAGCATCCAGTCTGTTAGCTGACAAGTCTTTGTACCTATAAATTAATAAATATTTTTATATTTTCCGTAGCCGCTGCGCAGTGTCACGTTTTTGGTTGACGCATGCGCGCTCGGCGTTCCCGTGCCTCGATGAACCACATATGCGGGCTTCCTTCAAACTAACCGTAGTAAGAGACAGGTATGTAGTAAAATAGTAATACTAGATAATGACTAATTATTCTTATCCATTTTATTTTATTAAACTTGTGTATATTAAATTATTTATCGGTGTGCTTGTTTGACTCGGCATGTGATTCGATTAATGAGTATATAACTAGTGGGGTAGATGAGTTACGTATAAAATGAAACAGCTGATTATTTTTTCGTGAACTTAGTATTGCCCCCATAGTAAAAGTTTTCAGTATACTTAACTAATCCACACCACGAAGTCCTGGCACATAATAATACTACACCTATATACTGTTTTACTTTTTTATATTTTCTAATATTGTAATGGAAAGTGACTTCATATTTTAATGAAATTATTTTTCAATCTTGACGCTCTGTATGAAAACAGGGAGAAAAAAGCAGCCCTTGCCGAGTTTCTTGCCGGTTCTTCTCGGTACAAGGTCTCCCGCCGTAGATTTACGAACCGATGCCGTAGACTCTCGACTTTCACAAGTGGCTGTCACAGCCTATTTTGTTTTGAAAAATAATCGTACATAATTTAAATATTAATATTTTTTAAGAATGTTTTTTTCTGGATGTTTGTTAGTCCTTCCGGCAAATAACTGAACTGATATTAATGCAATCTGGTATATAGAAAATTCTAAGCCTAGATTAACATGTATGCTTAATACCTGAAGATTTTTTTTTTTTTCATTATGTTAATATAATATAAAAAAAGTTGAATAAACGGTTATTCAATATCTTAAAAAAAGGTGGCGATCGCAATTGCTATCACATGTCACATAGTTGTAGCGTGAAGTTCGTACCTTTAAATGTCATATTGAAAGTGTTTGTGACAGATTTAAAAATTGGAGAGTTGAACCACAGTATTTTCAGTTCTTATTCAATGCAAATAAACAAACTTCCTTCTTTATTACGTTAGTATAGATGTAAAAATAAAATATAAAGATTTAGTTTATTTTTTTTTTCACAGATTTCACGTGTCTTTAACAAATATGCCAATAATGGCGACCGAGGAAGCAGGATTCTATTTAGGACATAGACTGGTAAATTTCATTATTAGTAATATAGCTTTTAGTTTTCTTAGCATCGTAATACGCGTGTAGACAGTAAACGAAAATAAATACATTTATTTTTCTGGTCTTTTACGCTTACTATATTTATAATATTGTTTAAATTAATTATGAAAAAACAAATATTTATTAAACTTACTCATATCAGAACTTCGAAAATTCAAACTTATACATACATAGAACGATATTCGTTTCAGAGTGTGACGTCATACCGACGCCATGACAAAAGTGACGTTTTCGCGGGAAAATTTAATTTATATTTATATTCTTAAGTTTCATGTATCTATAAAATAAAAATAGTTTCCATTTTATTTTTCTTATTTTTTTTTGTTTTTAAGTTCTTTTAAACAAATAGGTCGATTAATAAGATATACGAATATAAAATAATAAAAAAAAAATCTGTGGCAGCTTCAAGACGAATTCGTGGAATCCCTTCCAATGCCCCCCCACATGGTATCGCTGGCCGTGTGCCGCCTGCAGCGCGTGGCGGCGCCCCCTCCCCCCGCGCCGCCGGGCGCCCCCACCCCCGCGCCCCCCACCACTCCGCCCCCCACCTCTACACCTCCCACCACGGAACAACCAGACGACGAGGTGCTGCCGCCGCCAGAAATCAGCCTGTACAGTGACCAACAGCAGATTTTGGATGAAGCCGAGTGAGTATGCTTTTAAAAGCATTTATTTCTCTCCACTCTCTATTCTGTAGTTAAAGATCCGGTACCTGAATATTTTATATGTAAATTTCTGCATCTAGATGCTTCTCGCAGCTCAAAGCGGTAATCTTCTTTCAGACATCAAATAAACTCTTGCTTTTCTTTATCACCAGACAGATTTCATCTCCAATATATTTTCGCTTCAAGCTATACGATTCTGAAATGTACTACCTTCACAAATACAAGCTGCTCCAAAATAAACCTTCAAACGTCTAATGCGCGATTATCTACTGAATTAGGGGAATTTATTGGACCATTCGTACAACTTTAATCATAAATAAATAAAAACTACATACAATAAATATGTGTCAGTTAAAGGACATTTAAATATTCGTTTTCGAAGATTATCCGTTTCAAATCAATAATTGTTTCCAATTAAATAAATAAAATTATCATTATTGTCTACATGTATATTTATATTATTAGATATTTTGGGCTAATTTCGTCGATGATCTTTTATCCACTTCCTAGTTTTTAGATTGATGTGAAATTTTGCATATACATTAAAAGTTGGATGACAATGCAATCTTAATATGGAATGGAGCTGATCTGAAAGCCATCATTTATATGTCGAACATTAGGGCTCAGAGGTTCAATTTACGGTCAGGTTAATATAGAAAATGGACTATATCGTCTCGGGTCTGGATGTTGTGCTACCTTTGTTTTCTCAGATACTCCATAATACCAGAGCTACTAATGGAATCTGAGCAATGTAGTATGTGATGTTGTCTTATTTTATAGGTATTGTTTATTAAACTTTTTTTTTCAGGCCCCTTTTGGAATGGGTGCAGAAAACGATACAACAGTTAGCGTTCGAGTTGAACACCTCGTATCCCTTACCGAAATTTGGTGAGTTATTTTAGTAGATATTTCAATACCAATACTACAAGCCACATCTCTCATCTCAATAGAACCTCAACTTCTTGCACTTTGTCATTGTACTATCTACCTAAAGTTCAATATTATCAGTGGAATGTCTTCTTTACTTGAAGTAGACTTTAGTTGAGATTCTATCGGTCTATTAGTTGTAGAGTGAAATTCGTGAATCTTTCAAATGTCAAATTGAAAGGAATTCTGATGTATTTTAATATTAGACAGTTAAGCCCCAGTTTAGTATCGTTTCGGTCAGTTTTATTTAGTTTAGAGAATGATACAAGAGCTGGCTAATTCTCATAAGGTTATTATTGGTGATGGCGCTGTTCTTCGATGTGGTCAGTATGGTGATCGGATGGGAATTAAAGATGGCTTCACTTTCAAGACTAATCTGCTACTGTACAACTTGACTGCTTGATGATGAGGGACAACTGACATATAACTGACGTACTATTTACAATTTTGCCTTACTTACCTTAATACACTACTTACTACTTACAATAATAAGTGTAACTACACTTAATATTAGACTTAGCTACTATTGATGCACGGCGGCCGGCCAATCACAGCGCGTTCTGCGCCCGCGCGTCGGGTAGGGGAATCTCCTCCACCGGGTGAACGAGGCCTACGCAGCCATTGGGCTCTCCGTTTAATATACAAATGTAGGCACTGTGATTGGTCGTTCGATCTGTACATCTTCGAGGCACGTGGCTGTCGTCAAGAGTTATGCAATAATCTCATCTCAATGGAATCTCAGTTACTTGTATGTTGTCATTGTACTATCTACCTGAAGTCTACCTAGAGTAGACTTAACACATTATATTTGAATTCAGGTAGTTGAAATTCTATAAGGAAGTATTAAAAAAAAGAAAGCACTAAAAAGCACCTCCACTAGATGGCGACTCTAGCAAAAGTTGATTTTTGCAGGAAACGAATGGACCAAAAACAGCCATTTCCGTTCCTTTTAACAAACACATTAAAAAATTGAAATTTTAAAAGTTCGAAACTTAGATATCAATACAAATTCGAAAAAGTACAAATAGAATATGAGTTGTTTATTGAGTTTCGAAAACTAATTTACTTTTAAACATGGAAGAAAACCGTAAGGGCTGTCATGGAGAAATCAAAACGTACCGTAGCGACATCTAGTTTGATTTCGGGAACTAATAATTTTTTTAAATACTTCCTTATTGATATTATAACGTAAATATTAACAGAATCGGCCTGAAGATAAAACCTCGCTGCGTTTTTACTATAATCTCTCCAACCATTTAATATCTTTTTGACAATTCGGGATCAAATAGTGATGTACTAATGCATTACTCATTCGATTTATATTAGTAATCGATTTTATATATGAAGAAGTTTTAATTGATATTCTATTTAAGTGTGTTGTTTTCTAAAAAAAACTGGTATTTTTTTACAAAACAACACGTAACGTTAAAGTCACTTTATACATATAACGCCTTTGGGCATTAATATGCTTTCATCTATAGGTACATGGAATAAAACAAGTTAATTATTTTAATATTGTATTTTTATATTAAATTGTCTGATTCTTCTTCATTATATGAACTAGAATCGTATAGAAGGCAATGCCTATGTTCGGAAATATTTGTTTTACAGATATCGTAGTTGTGGAAAGTGGCAACGCCTATTCAGAAGGCTGGGGTTTGATCATCTTAGCACCTGCTACACTCTCTGACACTAAAACTATAGCCAGACTCCTGGCGCAACAAGTAAGTGAATTAATAATCCATCATCAACCTTTTAACGTTCCCGCTGATGGGATACAAACCTTCTTTACGGATAGAATTAAATAGGATTACTATAAAGAAGCAAGAAAAATATTTATATATAATTTTGTAACTAGCTTTCCGCCAGTGTAGTCCCTAGTAGAACTATTTAGTGACATGAAAAGTAGCCTATGTGTTATTTCAGTCTTAAAGTTATCTGTTTATAAATTTTCGTCAAAATCCATTCAGTTTATCGTGCCTGTATTAAAAGCAGTTTATATTTCAGGCGTGTCGATACTAGTATTGAATCAGCTGTTATTTGTGGAATTTACTTTCCATTTCTAATTATGTTAGTCTAAATACTCGCAGTATAATAATCAGAGATGCGCCTAACATTTGGTATTCGGCGTATTCGGCATTCACTATTTGTGTTCGACCGAATTATTCGGTTTTGGTGCCGAATATATTCGGCTCGACTGTTTCTATTTTCTTGGCTACACGACACGAAATAGTACTAAAAGACAAAATTTCTCAACTAAGATTTTATGTTATATTATGTGAGTCAAAGAAATCCTATTAAGAACGTGTTCAATAAAGCTTAAAAATAAAGCAATTAAACTTCAAATCAACATTTAAACTTGTTTATGCAACAAATCAGTGAATATTATAAACCAAATAATTTGACCGAATATCTGGTTCGGTAAAAGTTAAACCGAATTATATTCGGTATGCGGTTAAACCACTATTCGGCGCATCTCTAATAATTATCACCTACTCTGTCTGCCAGTGGTTCGGTGGTTTGGTGTCGCCTCGTTGGTGGAGCTCCCAATGGCTGATGGAAGCCCTAACGTCAGTATTAGCGGAGAAGGCGCCACCTTTAGGAGATAGTCCACAACAACAAGAGGACGCTCTGTTGTTAGACCACGTTTTGCCCGCACTCAGGTGACAACCCTATTTGTACACAAGTTTATATCTCTACTTAGGTAAATGTATTTTACTTTCAAATTTTGACAGACGACAAAATTCTGGATATACGGACGGTCATCAAAAGTTATCAGAATTCAGTCCAATATTAATTTATTATTATCACCAAATGTCAGGGGAAAGGCAAACAGACCAAAAGCGGTCAACCTCACAAATTACATTAAACTATTCTCAAAGTATATTTTTTTAATTAATAGGAGGCACCAGTGATATAATACATAAAAATAATTAAAATTAATTGTGGTGGGTGAAATGTGTGTATATGTGCAGTTATAAACTAACATATATGTTATGTAGAAGTTTGTGTGTATGTTTGTGTGTGTGTGTGTGTGTGAAGATGACGACCGTATAATAAATAATATCTCACTAATGATTATAGTAGATGGTGACTTTATCGTTTACAGATTAGATTCAAGTAACTCAGTGAGGGCTGTGGCGTCGCCAAGGTTAGATAGGTCAGATATTGAAGCGGCATCTGATGATCTATCATTACACAAGGTAATTTAGATTTAATTTGCACCTCAGGTTAGGGTCGGAAGCTAAAAAAATCCGAACCCGAATTCGAATTCTTTTTGGTGTCCGAATTTACTTCAAAAGCGACGTCCGCCAGGACCATGACCCATGGGCCATGACCCTCCACGCTGGCCCAATGCGGATTGGAGGGTATTAACGACTGCAAATGCAGCCGGGATCAACAGCTTAACGTGCCTTCCGAAGCACGAAGTAGCTCGAGATAATAATTTTCGGTCACCCATCCCGTGACCGACCCTTGCGAAAGTTGCTTAACGACAACGATCTCGGGCCGCGGCGCTTATCCACTACGCCACCGAGCTACTCTAAATTTCAATTAGAAGTTATTACTCAATTCGAAAATCTTTTAACATTCAGTAAGACCACAATAAACATCACAAACTTATAAATAGATGTCTATGGTAAATATATAAAACTTGACACTGGCTAAATGCAAGAACCGTGCGAAGCCAATATTAAAAAAAAACAAACAAACTCTATGTTAAAAGAAACAATTTGACCACAGTGTACATGTATGCGTGTAGCAAATACTTGTTTGTTTGTGTCAGATGCATAGTAGTGTGTGTAATGTTTTATTTATCAATGTAATGTACTTTATAAGCATTATTATTGAAAAATATTAGCCGTTTGCACTTCTCCTACATATAAACTATAAGTGTGCCAAATTTCATACTTGTCGGTCCTCGCAATTTACGTATAAAGGGGTCCAAAGTTTTTGCTTCACGTATTAATATTCGATGAGTAATTATGTATAATTTATATTTTTGCTATTCACTTAATTTTATTGCTCTGTACCGCCAACGCGTTTTTCAATATTTACTCAAGAGTTGAATTGTAGAGAATGCTATTAGCATTAAGTCCGCCTTTATCAATAAAGTTGAATAAATAAAGTACACAATGTGTACTCAAACTGTTATTGATTATGTGTGATTATTACATATTTTCGCCTCCTGTTGTGTATAGGGCGCCGCGATAGTGAGTATGGCTATAGAGGCGGCGGGCGAGGAGGCGGGGCGCGCTGCCCTCGCACGCCTGCTCAAGTACCACCGCGCCGCCAGCGCCGACGCCAGGTGAGCAATCGACGGCGCTCTTGATTTGATTTGATTTGATTTGATTTGATTTGATTTGATTTGATTTGATTTGATTTGATTTGATTTGATTTGATTTGATTTGATTTGATTTGATTTGATTTGATTTGATTTGATTTGATTTGATTTGATTTGATTTGATTTGATTTGATTTGATTTGATTTGATTTGATTTGATTTGATTTGATTTGATTTGATTTGATTTGATTTGATTTGATTTGATTTGATTTGATTTGGATTTGATTTGATTTGATTTGATTTGATTTGATTTGATTTGATTTGATTTGATTTGATTTGATTTGATTTGATTTGATTTGATTTGATTTGATTTGATTTGATTTGATTTGATTTGATTTGATTTGATTTGATTTGATTTGATTTGATTTGATTTGATTTGATTTGATTTGATTTGATTTGATTTGATTTGATTTGATTTGATTTGATTTGATTTGATTTGATTTGATTTGATTTGATTTGATTTGATTTGATTTGATTTGATTTGATTTGATTTGATTTGATTTGATTTGATTTGATTTGATTTGATTTGATTTGATTTGATTTGATTTGATTTGATTTGATTTGATTTGATTTGATTTGATTTGATTTGATTTGATTTGATTTGATTTGATTTGATTTGATTTGATTTGATTTGATTTGATTTGATTTGATTTGATTTGATTTGATTTGATTTGATTTGATTTGATTTGATTTGATTTGATTTGATTTGATTTGATTTGATTTGATTTGATTTGATTTGATTTGATTTGATTTGATTTGATTTGATTTGATTTGATTTGATTTGATTTGATTTGATTTGATTTGATTTGATTTGATTTGATTTGATTTGATTTGATTTGATTTGATTTGATTTGATTTGATTTGATTTGATTTGATTTGATTTGATTTGATTTGATTTGATTTGATTTGATTTGATTTGATTTGATTTGATTTGATTTGATTTGATTTGAGATGATTTGATTTGATTTGATTTGATTTGATTTGATTTGATTTGATTTGATTTGATTTGATTTGATTTGATTTGATTTGATTTGATTTGATTTGATTTGATTTGATTTGATTTGATTTGATTTGATTTGATTTGATTTGATTTGATTTGATTTGATTTGATTTGATTTGATTTGATTTGATTTGATTTGATTTGATTTGATTTGATTTGGTGCTTGGCCACGGGATGGGTGACCGATATTTTGTTTCGTTTATATTTAATCAATTAACAGACATTAGCAGCTGTGTTTGTGGGGGCGCCAAAATGTTATTATATATTACCTAATTTACTACACATTATAGGCTACGTCTATGGGACGGACATGCTTCGATATAAGAAAATATTATGCACTGCAAAAATAGGGTGATATAAAATCCGGCCTTATGGAGCGTAGGGAGGGGGAAAGGAGTAAAAAGGGGATCCAGAACCCTTGTTATATATGACCTCTTTTGACATACAAGAACATTGCGCCAGCTCGAAGGACCATCTTGTTTGTGTGCGCAATGAATTTATTTTTAAGTATGGATGAATAATCTGACGTACAGAGATTTTTGAATAATGAATATTGTCGATCACCGTCTTCTTGCTTACGTCTTCGTCCCGCTAGAGGGCGCCGGTGTGCAGTCGCAGCGACACTAGGGCTCCCTGCTGGCGTAATGTTGTTTTATGCTACAATAATAACAATATCAATGAACAGTAGCGTAACTATGCCGTTTAGGGCACGTGGCAAATTCATCTGACATTCTATTTTTTTTACTAATCCACTTAACGGAGGCCCCTTCCAGCTGCGGGTCCGTGGCATTTTGCCGACTATAATCAGCCCTGTAGTTACGCCATGACTTACCGACTTGCCACTCTGTAATTACGCCACTGTCAATTAAGCACTTGTGAGTGTTAAGCCTTAAAATCACGCCATTGGTTTTTCCTGTTATCTGAATAGGGATCTATGGCGAGCGTTACAGCACGACGGTGGGGATGACAGCGCGCGCGCGCACGCGTGGGACGGCTGGTGCGAGCGGCCCGGCTATCCCCTACTCAGCGCTACTACAAAAGGGGACGATATTGTACTACGGCAAGAGAGGTCAATACATTAGAGATAACTATTTCTTTTGCTTATTAAAGACTCGTATCGTTTGTGTATGTTGCGTTATCAGTATGGGGAAGTATTTAAAAAAAATAGTTCCCGAAATCAAACTAGATGTCGCTACGGTACGTTCTTGATTTCTCCATGACGACCTTTCCGTGTTTCTTTGAAGTTTATAAGTAAATTAGTTTTCAAAACTCAATAAACAACTCATATTCTATTTGTACTTTTTCGTATTTGTATTGATATCTAAATTTCGAACTTTGCAAATTTCAGTTTTTAATATGTTAGTTAATAGGAACGGAAATGACTGTATTTGGTCCATTCGTTTCCTGCAAAAATCAACTTTTGCTAGAGTCGCCATCTAGTGGAGGTGCTTTTATAGTGCTTTTGTTTTTTTTATGCCTCATTCAGCGATATATTGAGTTGAAATGTCGTACGATGTTCACAACTTTACATACATTTTCCACATAGTTGTGACGTAGCGCCCCTCACTCCATTTTCAATTATCTAACTGACGGACTAAATAGCATTTCCTTTTTTTTATCAAGCCAACATCACTATTATAATTCAATCCATTAACATTTTGTCTATAATGAAATATTGTATATAGTGAAAAAAACGACATAGCGCTATTACATCACTAATATGTCGTATCCTACAGCAATTATGCGGTCGCTCTGTTATCCGGCTCGAAGGACCGCTTTATATTCTTCTTCTTATTCTTCTTAATCAGCATTTGTCTGTCCAGTATTGGACATATTCCTCCACCAACTCCCTTCTGCATGATCTGCAGGTTGTCTCACTCATCCATGATTTGCCGGTTGTTTGAACAATATCATCAGGCTATCTTGCCCTTGGTCTTCCTGGTTTCCTGCTAGATGTTCGTGGTCGCCATATGGTTATCTTTTGGCTCCAAAGTCCATCTGAGCGTTTCATTATATGGCCAGCCCATTGCCACTTTAATTAAGCCACTCACTTCCCTACATCCACAACACCAGTCCGTTTACGTATCTCGGTATTTCTGATTACGAAGAGTTATCCGAAGCATAGATTGTTTTATTTTATTATTGTTGTATTGTTGTTATTTTAGATTTATCATGACAGCTGATCCCCCAGCAATGGACGCTCCTGTAGTGGACAGTCTGCTGACCGCTGACCTGAGAAGCGAGCTCGACGAGTTATTCTACGAGCCTGGTGAGTGATTAACATGGTTAACTTTTACCCTACATATAAAATTAGAAGATATTTTACGGGTTAAATTCTGAAAAATATTTTGCTTCGCACTCCTTTAGCATCGCAAAATTTAGGAGTAACAGCATATTAATTAGAATTAGTAATTTGATCTATCTTTTGAATAATACGTCAGGACATATTAAAAACGTTCCTACTCTTATTAAGTTCCTAGTTTGCAGGTACGATTCTGTGTTGAAATCGTCGCTGAGCATGTCTCTAGCATATTGTGATTGCAGTGCATAGTTGTATCTGCATACAGATGTTATCCGGTTTCATTAATAATACATAAATAATATTAATTTCAACAATTTTTCTGCATTTATGCGGAAGCTTGTTATTAGTCCTTAAGTATTATAGATGTGACTATATTGTAAATTATGCTGTAAGCTCCCAAAAAAGAATAAAATAAAAATAAAATCCGACCACTATCCTATTATAATATTATAAATGTGAATGTTTCTTTGTTTGGATGTTTGTCCGTCTATCACGCCGAAACTACTGAACGGATTTTGATGAAATTTGGATACAGATAGGGTATTAGCTGACTTTTTATCGCACTAAAAATTTTCCTAGAGTCCACGCGGGCGAAGCCGCTGGCGAAAGCTAGTTTACTTAATAAAAACACAAAAATATGCACCAATCAACTTCACTATTGTCATTTCACAACACTAGTAGATGTTTCACCGCACAAGACCACGCGGGCGAAACTCGCCGAGTCTTGTCGGTTAAACTTCTTGGCATGTATTACACTCAACTATACTAATACAATTAACTCCACTATTAAATACAAACAAATAATGAAATCATGATTCTTTAATAAAATGTCAGTAAAGTTATTAAAATCATTTTTTTTATGTATGCCATAGATAACATCACTGACACGTTAGAGGATGACTTGAACGCGACCACGACCGCCGCCCCCACCACGACCACTCGCCGCGTCCCCACCACCCGCGCCCCTCCCGCGTACAAGTGGGTCATACCGCTCACGTTTGTAGTAGGACCCGTGGAGGATACCGACGAAGAAGACTTGGATAACATCACTAAGATCTGGAGGAATGTCACCGAGAACATGCAGAATGGGACTTGGTGAGAATTTTGGCATTAGTCCATACCAGGGTTGGCAAAAATCCGATATTTATAATAAATGTCAAACTATCCGATATTTTATATTTATCCGATGTATATCATGCATATGAAAAGCTGCGATTTTTAAGGCTTTATTTAATATTTGATCTTTTAAATCATTAGTATAAAATAAAGATTGAGTTTATTTATTAAAAACTAACTGGACGCACTTCGTCTTCATATTACAGGGAAACGTGAAATTTCTAGTAAATAAGATTGCTTCGGCGGGTCAATGTTGCCAGTATCACATCGGGTTGGTTAATTTACTAGAGTCAATACTCAAACTAACAATAAATTTTATAAATGTCGATTGATAAATAACAACATATATAAGAGTCGATATATATCCGTTGATATTAATCAGCGAACCCTAGTCTATACCAAACTTATTTCGTCTACTGACTTTCAGATATATTATTTATAAGCACTCCCGTTTCTTCACCTACATAAACTCTACATTTATAATTGTGCTATATTAGCGGAGACTAAACATTCATTCTAAGCGTGGTTTTTACTAAAATACTAAAGAGTTAACTTGAGAAATACAACTTTTCAAATCGACTGAGTTGCTTCTTTTCTTTCACTAAGAAATGCCGTTGTTATTAATAAGCGAACCCTGGTCCTTTCAGAATATATTGTTTATTAGCGCTCCCATATCTTAACCTACATAAATTCTTTATAATTATTGTGCTATATCAGCGAAGACTAAACATTCATTGAGAAATATAACTTTAAATGAAATACTTTTGATTATCATTACCTTTTTTATCTTTCGAATTTCTAATCAACTGTGTTGGTACCCTACTAGCATGTTTCTTCTTTTCTTTCACTAAGAACTGTCAACATCTTGTTTCACGGTATATATTTATCAACAGCTCTATCCTCTTTTTTGGCGTTAAAAACCGCCATTTGCTAGGGAGAGATAGGGTGCTACCTATTTCACCGCGTGTTGTTATCGCAAGCCAGGCGTTCGGGTAAAGCTGGACATTTGCAGGTTTTTTGATTGCGTGTCCGGGAAAAAAATGACGTCCAGCTTGTCCGGTTTTTGTTAAGCTTTTTTAGCGCCTACATGGCCAAGCACAGACGAGTATATTTATGATAATAATCAAAAGGTTTTTTTACATACAATTTTTTTGTCTTGCCTATTAATACTGAGACACAAAAGCCTCAATAATGTAGGCTGTCCGGCCTTTCTATTGAAACGTTCGGCCAAACTGGTTAGTCTGTCCGGCCTTAAGATTAGGCGACTTGGCAACCCTAATCGTATATTGCTTTCTCGCTCTAGCAAATGACAGTTATGATTGTCAAAACAGGAAAAGACCTTGGAAAAGACTATACTGAGCAATCAAGATGTCATTCTCTCAACATCCAAATAAGTGATGTCAGTTTTTCTGCAGGTACGACGTGGTGAATGATACAAGACCAATGAGAAAGTCGCGGTGGACCGAGAACGAGGTGCATCTTATATGGATGAACGAAACTGAAAGTAAGACTATGTATACTTCAGACCAGTATTTATTTATTTGAGCAACCAACAAGGTCAAACACTGTACATGCAAATAAGACAATGTGCTGCCTTAATGAAAGGTTATCACTAAATGCATATGAAAATGTTACCTGGAACATTGTTCTGCCATCGGCCATTGCATTTAGGCAGTTCCAGTTATTCGGATTGTGTCTTAAATTATGTTAAGGAGTTGGATGACGAAGTGGTTAGCCCTCGGTGTACGATACAGTTGTTGAGCAACTTTCGCAATGCCCGGTCATAGGATGGGTGACCAAAAATTTCCGTGCTTCGGAAGGCACGTTCATCGTTTGGTCCTGGCTGAATCTGCAGTCGTCAACGCCCAGCATTCCGCCCTGGGTCCGCAATGTGGGCCACGACTCCCTATTATATTTGATTCGATTCCATCCATAGGGAAGGCCAGAGTTTCAGCTGTGGGGAAATTAATAGGTTAGATATAATGTTAGCACAGTGTCTCAAGACGAAAGTCTTCAATTCGTGCGTGTTGCCAGTGATGACATACGGAACTGAGACGTGGCCGCTTACGATGGGCCTCATAAGGAAGCTCAAGGTCGCTCAGAGGGCAATGGAAAGGGCTATGCTCGGGGTTTCTTCGCGAGATCGAATCCGAAATGATGAGATCCACAGAAGAATGAAAGTCACCTACATAGCCCAAAGAATTGCGAACCTCAAGTGGCAATGGGCAGGGCACATCGCTCGCAGTACTGACAGCCGTTGGGGCGGTAAGGTCTTGAAGTGGCGACCGCGTACCAGGAGACGCAGTTGGCAGGCCCCCCACAAGGTGGACTGACGATTTGGTGAAGGTCGCGGGAAGCCGCTGGATGCGGGAGGCGCAGGACCGATTACGTTGGAGATGTTTGGGGGAAGCCTATGCCCAGCAGTGGGCGGCTCTCGGCTGAAATTATGATGATGATGATGAATGTTAGTAACTATATGTTTTTTGTTACAGTGGTGATACCGGATTTAGGTAAACATAAATGGGTTCGCTATAACGTTGGTGCTCGTGGCTTATACAGGGTGGCTCCACAAGATCGTCCTGGAGAAGTGAGTATTATATAATAATAATTAATCTTTTATTTCTCACCACAGAAGACATTAATGAATATACTTAAAGTTGCAACCATTGGCGGACTAAAGGAGGGGGGGGGAGCGGAAAGTTAAAAATATATGGGTTGGGGGGAGGCTAGTCCGCCACTAGTTACAATACCAAAATTTTATATCACCAAGTATATCAAAGTAATGTCTTTGTGGGGGACTGGTGCCTGTAAGGGAAGGAAGGTTAAGACGGAGAGGTCAACGTTTGAAACTCAATAAATCAAAACATTTCACGTTTATGTTAAGTTTTTTATTATAGAAATGATAATGAGTCTTTTATAATTTAGTGTAATTGGGATATAAATATATAGAAAAAAATTAGATACCCCCCCCCCCCCCGGGGGTTAAAATGGGTAGCTTAAGAGGCAAGATGGAATTTGCTCAAATTTATTACCATTCCACGTAAATGTCGCAAGTTCATCTTCGTTATATACATCGTTATTTGACTCCAAATACGTACCAATCACTGCAACACATACTATATAAAATATGAAAAAGCCCTATTCTCTATTAATGGCTAAACTTTTAACTCTTCTTTTTATGAGCCGCAGTTATCCTATGTTGTTCTACCCGTCACACCATCTTGCGTTTTCATATTTTTTCTGCCTTCCGCCTTACAAAGGGTTTAGCCGGATACGTATGACGAGTCGGCCCCCAAATGGGAATCGATATTGAAACTTATGTTTTAATATCGACTTGATGTTCAAACACGATTTATGTACTTTTCGCGACCGACTTCCGCTTTGACCTTGAGATAGAGAGCAAAATATCCGTATGCTTGACTATTACTGAATGTGATATATCTCTGAAGCTAATTAAGATAAAGAAGTGAAACTAACGCGAGGTGTTAGGTTACATTACAGAGTATATCACATATATTTTTTTATAATTTTTAGAATAAAAAATTACATTAAAAAAATAAAAATAAAAAAAAACATGTTTTTTTTTCTGAGTTCTCTGTGACTTACAATCACGAAATTAATATATGTTATGCTCCTTTGTGTGCTCTATCATCCATAAAAATTGCGTGAAAAAAAAGTTGGTGCAACACAACGAAAAAAAATTATATGTGATTCGCGCCTTGTAGTGTGAGTGTATAAACAAACAAGTTCGAACTTGTTATCGAGCTGTTTACTGCACCGTTTGTTTAGCTAAAGTAGCAGTCATTTGTGTTAAACAAGAAGGCAGTTTGGGACTCAAATTCTGTCATAGGTATTTTGTATCAGCATTTTGAAATTATTAACTATCGAACCAAATCATTATTAAGTAATAATGTCGAAAAAGTGTAAAAATTGTAACAAGTACCTGTGTAAGATTCCTGGTTATAAAAAAATTATAAAGAATGAAGAAGAAGCTAAAGTGTTTAGTGACTGTTTGAATAAAATTGTAATAGTTAATGATATTTTTTGTGAGAAGTGTCGACTTATCCCATATAGTAACAAAAAAGCTTCTACTTCTAAATGTGCAGCATTTAACTTGGCCGAAATAATGGACGATCAAAATAATCTCTCAGTACAATATGTGAAATCAGCACCTAATATCATCAAAGCAGAAGTGAAATCAAGACATATAAATAGAAAAGTCTATCGAATTTACATTCACTATATTTCCGAAAGTAATGACTACAATAGTATTCTTCGTTATTGCTGTGCTTGCCCCAATGGCAAACGTACAGTGGGATGCTGTTCTCATGTAGCAGCTATTATTTATTATCTATCATATGGATGATATTTGTCCAAAATCGTACGTCCTGCTGAGGTCCTAACTAAGTTATTTGCGACTCAAAGTGTTCCGATTGTAATTAATTACAACAGTGACGATGATTAATATTTTGTTTCTTGTATTTTGATAGACACGAAAAAGTAATAATAATAAGTATTGAACACTGGCTGTTTTTTTTTTCATTTCTTTTTTAACTATTATCCCATCTCTTAAGACTAGTTACTTATGTTTTAAAACAAGCTGATGTGAAATTTCGAAAAAAAAACAATAATGTAATGTGAAAACCTTATAATACAGGGGTATACCATAAGACAGAAATCACATATAATTTTTTTTCGTTGTGTTGCACCAACTTTTTTTTCACGCAATTTTTATGGGTAATAGAGCACACAAAGGAGCATAACATATATTAATTTCGTGATTGTAAGTCACAGAGAACTCAGAAAAAAAAACATGATTTTTTTATTTATTTTTTTTTTAATGTAATTTTTTATTCTAAAAATTATAAAAAAATATATATGATATACTCTGTAATGTAACCTAATACCTCGCGTTAGTTTCACTTCTTTATCTTAATTAGCTTTAGAGATATATCACATTCAGTAATAGTCAAGCATACGGATATTTTGCTCTCTATCTCAAGGTCAAAGCGGAAGTCGGTCGCGAAAAGTACATAAATCGTGTTTGAACATCAAGTCGATATTAAAACATAAGTTTCAATATCGATTCCCATTTGGGGGCCGACTCGTCATACGTATCCGGCTAAACCCTTTCTTTCTTTGTATTGTGTCCTATATTTGCACAATAAACAATATATAAGTAATATATTATTGTTAACTTTAGGCCCGGAACGATTTTTCCATCTGGAGCAGAAACTTCTTATTGTGCCCTTCTCCCCCTCCTCCCGCGCGCGCTTCGAGTGGGATTGTCTTATATTTCATTTAAGGACTTTGTAAACACTTATATTATGTAATTTCATACTCTATATAATGATGTTTTTGGCGCTCTCTCTAATTATAATGATATGTTATAAATCTAATTATAATTATAATGATACTTATGATAAAAAGCTGGTAAGTTTCTTTCGCTTCTTCTTGTCAGCTAAAAGACGTCCTGAACAAGTGCAAGGTGAAAAAAAATTTTTGTGGACGATTCAAAAGTGCTTGTTATAGCCTACTTGAATAAAGATATTTTCATTTCATTTCATATTTTGTTTATGGTGC